GTGAACCAAGCACGGTTTAGTCTTGTCCTTGCCAATCTATTCTCCACAGCGCTGCTGGGACATTGATTAAAAACTGCCAATCTAGTCATGATGGGCATCCTTTAGTGGTTCTAGCTGTGGTACACTCTGCCACCTCTGGGAGAAACACTCTTCTTGTCACTTCTGACCCTGAGCCATTCTCTTTGAGACTTCCCCTGGAAGACCTTTCTGATTTACTTACATCTGTCACCCTTTGTCTCCCATCATCTCTACATCGCCAGTGCCTATGAAAACCTGCACTTAATCGTAGCTCAATAAATATTAAATATTGAATGACACCAAAATCAGTTGAGTGCCAAGGCTCCTATTTTCTTTCTTGTCTTTGAACCAGCAAATGCAGCATCATCCTTTTCATCCAGTGTTTATTGATTCTTTCGGGATTTAGGTTCTAATTCAGTCTCTGCATTCTCCATTAATTTCTTTTTAAAATATTTTTTAAATTTTTCAACTACAATCGACATACAACATATTAGTTTCAGGTGTGTAACCCAGTGATTGGCCATTACGTAACTTACTAGGCGATCACTCCAATAAAACTAGTACTCGCCTGACACCATACATAGTTACTATAATATTATTGACTACATTCCCCATGCTGTACTTTACATCTCCAGGACTATTCTGTAACTACCAATTTGCACTTCTTAATCTCTTCTCCGTGCATCTTTAACCTACAATCTACAAGACTAAAGCAGTGTTTCTCGAACTGCATCTGAATCACCTGGAGGACTTGTTAAAGGAAGATTTGTTGGACCCACAGACGTTGCAACTTAGTAGAACTGGAGTGGGGCCCAGAACTGGCATGTCGAACAAATTCCCAGGAGATGTGGATGTTGCGGGGTCCAGAAAGTAGATTTGGAAAACCACTAGAGCAATGGTTCACAGCTGGAAGTATTGGAACATAATCATATCTTGGTCCACTCCTACCTACGGGATCAGAATTTTCACTGGGGTGGGGAGGTCAGGTATTTTCAACTTAAAAGCCCCACTGGTGATCCTGATGCACTACCCTGGTTCAGAACCATGAACTCAATGATTTACTCCAGAATCTGGACTCTCCCTTTTTCCCAAGCCTTATTTTTCACACCCCCTCCAACTTCCTACCCTGTTCTCCAGTCCTATGGAAAGGCAGGCAGTTTGATGATTCCAGACCTCTGCTCCCCGGTGTGGTAAACACAAGAGACACCCCACCCCGATTGTTCTGAGCTCCCCCATCACCCTAGGCACCCCCGTTTCTCACTGCACAGGCCAATACCAGCTTACCACACACTGCCCTGTCTGCTGGACTGTAAATTTCATGAAGGCACACTGTGGTCTGTCTTTGTAGATGCTCAATAAACGTTTGTTCAGATTAATTTAAAAAGCCCCGCCCCTGACCTTGCCTTCTTTCAACAATCATCTTGAGTCCTCTCTCTGTGCTATCTTTCCTGACTTGCTCCAACTCTCTTCCTGCAGTAAGAACTGAGTTCTGCCTTCCATGAGCCCCACCCCTAGCCCCAGGCAGGTTAACTCCGAATTTGTGATCTTTTATTCCATGTTGTTTATAGGCCTGGCTCCTCCTAACAAACTGTCAGGAATCATTTTATTTTTGTTTTTTAATTTCTGTACTTCATATAGGAGAAACATGATACCATTTGTCAAATTAATGAATGGAGTCAATTTTGTATTCACGTAAGCCTATTTTGCAATGTTTTCACCCAAACTTCTTTGTGGCTTTAACAAAATCTTCTTAAGAGTCTTCTCCACAGTAAGAAAATACCATAATTCAAATTTCATTGAGTATGGAATATGCACAACATGGAATTTAGGGGGAAAAAAATGTTTATCAAGGGTCCAAATAAAATCCTTCAGAGAGAGGGCAAAGCGTGACTTACGGATTGTCCAGTGCGTTCGGACCCAGGGGTCTGAGCCAAGGTCTTAGCTCCATTTTACACTATCATCCTGGACACACCAGTTACCCAGTCTTTTCGCCTCCCGGGTCTATCATTTATAAACTGAAGAAAAGACATGGTTTATAACCTATACTAAGTCTTGACAGAAAATAGGATGCTACTTAATGAATTCAACAGCATCTTTGAAATTCATTTAAAAAATGAATTCTGACAACCTTGCTGTAGAAAGAGGTGTTGGGGAAAAAAAGAGGGTTATACTTTACAAAATATGTAAAATGTAGGTGTTCTTAACAAACTCTGCTCCGACCATCATGCCAGGGACATAATGGGTCTTCAATGAATATTTATTGAATGAAAGAAACAAAACAATCTATAAACAATTTCATTCAAATTGGCAGGAATAAAAAGCACCAATCTGCTCTCTTAGAGAATCTTGCTGAGTGACCCACACATTGCATACCCCCCAGGAAGCCCTGGGTTCCCTCTTTGCAATGCCGGAGCCTGGGCCAAATGTCTCCCACAGGAGAACACACCCTGTTACTAAAGCTCACACAGCATCACATGTGCTAAAGACGCAGTTCATAGTTGTATATGAGCTGTGTTCTATCACCTTGATGCACACCTTCCTGTCACACCAGAGAGGTAATTCCTTTCTAACTGACACTTTGGTTGTGTAAAATTCTTAGGAATTTAAGATCACCATTCAACCTAGCATCTGAGTCTTCGCTAGAGTAGTTCTCTACATTTTTCAATGACATACTCTTCTTAGCGTGCATGTAGACACAGGAAGGAAAGAAATAAAAATATATGAATTGCATGACCAACTTAATTTTCTCTTCAGTAGACTGGATATCTGCATAGGGAATGAAGATCCTAGAAAGCCCACACCATTCCCACAATCGCTTTAGAGAAACAACGATCAGTCTATGCAACAAAAGAAACCGTTAATGAAATGTGTGTGGCATGATAATTTTATAAGGCTATGTCCTTAAGTTTCAGAATTAGGATTTGACTGTGGGAGCAAAGACTCTTGGGGGCAGGACAACCCAGATAACCTCACCCACATGCATTTCTCACACAATGCTGTTCTGTATGTAAACAGAAAATAGAAAAGAGTATATGGTTTTTGTCCTTAGCATTAAATAGCTGCTTTTTCTTCAGCACACTCTTAAATTTCTGCACAATGCACAGCCTTCAGCACCCCAAGGAGCATAAACAAAAGATATCAGGCAAGTTCACCTACTCCCACTTCACTGAACAATGCTTGTTGTTAACTAAGCAATTCCCAGGACAGATTTATGATCTCTGGAGCCCGGGGTAAGTACTCAGGTTAGGTCCTTGGAATCTGAGGTCAGAAGCACGTGGTGCCCGTCCAATCTCCAGGGCCTTTAGAAAACATGAAAATGTGACCTCAAGTGTGTGCTTGCGTGTACGCCAGAGACGATTTAGGCATTTAGAGAAATTAAAGCACATTAAGGCCTCAAAACAGCTTATTGTTCATGCTCCAAGTTCTAACCTTTTCTTTCTTATTTGCTTCTCTGCTTTCTTCTTGTGAATAAATGTCTACTGAATTATATAAGAGTAATCAAATATATATGTGACATGTCTATAGATTAAAAAACTCCTGACAGAGCAACAAATTATATAGATAAGGAAATTTAAAAATTTATTTCTCAATTCCTAAACAGAATTGGGACTCTGATTCTTTTCCTGTATTCTTGGACCCTGGATTTAATCACAAGACAAGATTGTAATCAGCAGACTAATTTATCCCAAACATTCATATGAGGATTTAAAGTCCAGTCAAAAGTGTAGGTACTTAGCCCTGGCCAATTTGGCTCAGGGTTAGAGCATCAGCCTGTGAACCAGAGTCGTGGTTCGAGTCCCAGTCAAGGGCATGTATCCCAGTTGCAGGTTTGATCCGCAGCCTTGGTTGGGGTTGTGTGGGAGGCAACCAATCAATGTGTCTCTCTCAACCGATGCTTCTCTCTCTCCCTTCCTCCCTCCCTCCCATTTTATCTAAAAAAAAAAAAAATCAGTGGAAAAGTGTCCTCAGGTATAGTATAAGTACTTAAACAAGTATAAGTACTTAAAAGATAAATGCAAACAAGTGCATAAAAACACTTCTTTTCTGCCTGCCTTTTTAGGGAATATTTTAGCTAGAGTTACACCTCATAGGGTAATAAGATGCTATTAATATGTAACAGAGTTGGGGGAACAATTCTCCCCTTGGTTGTCTGGCTCAAGTATAAAAGTAAAATAGGTTCCTGCTTCCATTTTTATGAGTATAATTATTATCAAGTGAAATAATTAAATTTCATTACTACTCTTCCACTCTTTAATTTCCACCTACTAAATATTAGAATGAAGCCAGAAAAGACATAAAGATATATATACATACACACAATGTTTGCATCACTTTAAAGTCATTGGAAATATCTGAATGCATGACAATCATTCAGGAGATGTGTAGTCAGTATAATAAAATGCAGCCATATGTCTCAGGCCGAATTCAATTGTTGATGGGTCACTGACGGTGTTGGGGCCTTTCACTTACCCTGCACAATGCCAGTGTTAGTCTATTATTCCAGTTGACTGTGTAAAGCAAACTGGCTAGCCTATGGTCCAAACAATTATTAAATATCAACATTTTTCAGGAAACTTATGTTCTACCAAGTTTCAAGTAAGGATCTGGTGTTTAAAAGATCCTTAGACACACTTCAAAATAAATGGCTAAGTTTAAAAAGGGGGAAATACCCTGAAAAATACATTTCTAAAACAAAACCACCAATACGATAATATAGTGACACAAACGCTCGTCCAATCACAAGGCTGCTTTCAAATGCATCATAACAAAGTCAGGAAGTTCTGTGTTCGGTGACAGGGGCTGGTCACGCCCACCGTCTCCGGTTCCAGCAGGCACGGAAGAGAACATAAAGGCCTACCTAGTCGACTGAGCTTCTTGTCTGCTAGCGAGGGAGGAAAGGCCTGCCTGCCGCTCACCAGTGGAAAATCATTGAAAAAGTAGAGATTAGTGAGAATAAAACAACAAAAAGAATAGTTCCCTACCCATTGCCTCCCACTGCATGAACTTTTGACATATCGGCGAACTCCTCTTGCCTCTTGCTGCTGCTGGCGTACTGCTCGCTGTACAGCTTGAGGGACATCTGCTCCACAGCGTCTCTCTGTGCTTCCAGGTAGCAGAGCTGAACCTCAGCCTGCAGAGACACAAAGAGCAATTGCTGTTTTAATCCAGCAGGAATGCATCGCGAGTGAGGTGTAACAACTCGAAGAATGGGCATTGTTCATGTCATCATACTGCTCCTTTTTGGGTTGGATTTAACGGGATCAGCTGGGCATATTACAGAATTATATTTTAGATCTGAATCTTATAAGTTCCTCCTTAATATATGACCTGAACAAATGAACTCTCAGAAGACTCAGTAAATATCACAAAATATCCCTGAGATCATAATAATGTATGATGAGATTTTACATAAAAATTCTGTGAAATTCCTTAAGAATATTCTTCCTCATAGCGCCGCATATGTAACTTTTTTTTTTCTTTTAAAGATCCCCCTCCAACCCATACATTTGCATGGACACATATTCTGAATGCTTTTCATTATCTTCCCTGAGAAGAATAAAAAAGCCTGGTACTAATTCTAATCAGTCTTCAGTAGTGACAACAGACTTCCTTTATTATATTTTGTGTTCTCGGTATTATTGTCTTAATAATTTTAAAATAGAGGGAATGGTGGTTTTGCTTAATTGCTGGTTTGAACTGTTAAATCTTTCATAGTTACTTGGGGCTCACTGTCGTAAAGGAGAGGTAGTAAGTTCACCATGCTGTTTTCTATCAAACCAAGGACAAAAGAATGCTGAATAATATTTGGCATGAAAATGTATTACATAGATGCTTTATTTATTGCAGCTGTTGTGATCGCTGCGGCTGTAGGGTTCCCCGGTACACCAGAGAACAGGAGGGCAGCGTCTCGAATGCTTGCCCGTGCCCGGTGAAGGGGCGCCGCAGACCAAAGGAACTCTTATTTTCTTTTGGCACACTTTGCTAAATCCAAGAACATACATTAACATTTCTGATAAGTTTCAAAAGTGCTACTTCTTTATATTTTAATTACATATTCTCTTCAGAAAATCAGCTCTGGGTCAGCTCTTGGGTGGTTGCCAGAATTCTGTAACAGGTAAGAAATGCTGAGTCAGACAGAGCCTTCTGCTCTCCGGGTCCAGAGCCCAGCTCGGCCTTCTGTCCAGTCTCTAGTTTTACAGACTCCACCTGGGGGCAGAGGGGGGTACTATGATAAAGTGGCAGCTTCTTAAAAGTGCAGATAAGGACTCTGTAAAGGAAATGGGTAGCTTATGACATGGAAGGTCTCAAACATTGGCGGAGTGCCTACGTGGTTACTTTCCACAAGCAGCTAGCATTGGTGCTCTGCACTGCTGAGGGACAGCTTTAGAAAAATGCTAAGATTACTACAGTCACATAAGTGAAGTTTCGCAAATCAGTTAAGAACCTATGTATTAGATCATGTGAACTTTTCTTGCCCAAACTAATTGGCTTGAACAAGAATAGACTCAACTGGATAAATAATTATGTCAAACACTATAAACAAAGGACAATGCTTCATAGAAATATTCCGTGTGGCCGGTGGGAAGGCACGAAGGCATTCAGCATCTTTATCAGAGATGTTGACGAGGAGGAATGGAGCAGGTTAATGGTGTTATAGAAGAGTCTCAACCAAGAGATATACAGATATCACAGAACTTGGAGGAATAATACCTACAGACCTAAGAATGTTTCAGTTAAATGGACGGGGGGAGGGGTGAATAAAACTGAATATAGGTAGTCAATGATTAGAACAAACAACAAGACATAGCTTTCAAAAGAGCATGAAATATTTTATGTGATTAAATAAATATGAGATAATTGAGAGATATTGAGCAATAATCAAAGAGCTTAAAAACAATAATTTTCCCAAATGTCATCGCTCCAACCACTTCTTCCCTCCTCAAAGCAAGAGGGGTAAATGAAGAGGTCATCCCACACCAAGAATGCTATTGGAAAACCCGTGACAATAATGCATCTGCAGCAGAAGGTGCCATGGGGCATGCTTGGTCCCTAGACGTTCCTGTTAGTTTCTAACCATCCAACGGTAACAAGCTGGACCACTGCTTGTTCTGGGTAATGATCTCACAAACGTGTGTCACTGGTCACAAAAAGGATCATGAAGAGGGATGTTGACTTAATTCAGATCCATCGTTACTGCAAAAAAAATAATAATAATTGGGGTTTATCCCTTTTAGATCCTAGGCCATTTCTATGTAGAAAGGGAAATACCTCTCATGGACACATGGAAAGGACTTCAGAGAACAAGGCTGAGCAACTTGAAGGATAATTAGTCACCTTACAAAAATGATTGAAAGGTTGCAATCTAAGACTGCACAATATCTCATAGGCATTTGACATAAAAAACAAACAAACTTCCCTGTACTAAGAAGGAGGCAAATTAGATGGCCCAAGTCTTTCCCACCCATCTCTATTTCTATCTGTTTTCAGTGATTCATCCCTAAAGGTGATGGTAAAAATAGAACCAAAGTATCTCCTTCTGCTAAGGTTGAATGACTTTGCCAGTCTAAAGTCAACCTGTCTTAACTTTTTCTCATACTATATCTTACTCCAAAGATAAATTTTTAAGTGAAAGGTATGAAGGAAACACAGTTCTTACAAAAGTAACACTGAATCTCTGATTAAAATAATTTTAATTATACTTTCAGCATGTATGATAACAGTGGATACTTTGAAAAGTGAATATATTTTACAAATGGAAACTTAGCCTGATTAAATAATATTAATGATGCATAACCAACAAGATTTGGCAACTCATTCATCAAGGAAAATAAAAAGGAATAAGAGGGAACAGACTCAATGACAGACCCACCTCCTATTGGTACCATCAGTGAAAGCAGGAGTATGAAAAGAGCAATACTGTGGTAGATGGAATAAACGAGCTGGATTTGATTGAGTCTCTTATATGAGGTACTGGTGGGATACCCAAAATGAGATAGTCAGCAGGCAAGTAGAAATATTAAGACTGAAATATAAACCTAGAGGCAACCGGTGACATTGGGAGATGAACTGTGAGGGCCATGGAAGAGAATACATATTGAGAAGAGAAAAGGGATCAGTTCTCACGTATTCTGGTCTGCATTACTAACATGACAGATTCTCAGTCACTCTCCCTCCATCCTTCTCTACCATTCCCCAATCCACTTCATCAATGGTTCATTGACTAATCTTTATGAATCACATCTGAGACCACTGGTTGTTGTTTAAGGGCTTAATTCTACACTTTTTCCTTCACTTATACTCTCTTCTATGGCTTTCTATGCCATCAATATAGTAATGGCTTCCGGTCCTCTCCTCCGAGCTCCACACTGATATATCTAACCAACCATCTGACGCTGCTGCTTGGATTGACTTTAGGTATAACTGATCACAACAGAATTCTCCCCACATCCTCCCAAACTATTTCTACTTAGGCCTCCCTATTTATTTATTTATTTATTTATTTATTTATTTATTTATTTATTTATTTATTTATTTATTTATTTATTTTTGGTATGTGCCCTAAGCGGGAACTGAACCCGGGACTCTCTGGTCCGCAGGCTGACGCTCCAACCGCTGAGCCAAACTGGCCAGGGCTAGGCCTCCCCTATTAAATAACTGGCACTATCTGTTGCTCAGGTCAGAAACCTGAAAGTCATTCTTGACTCCTCATCTTCATTTACCACAGTCAGTTACTCCTCGAGTCCGTTGACTCCTCTTGCAAACCTCTCCCCAGTCTGTCTCCCCGATCTGACCGCTGCCAGCCTGACCCAAGCCTGCACGGCCTCTCCCCTGCAGCACAGCAGTTATCCGCTAACCTGTGCTTCCCCCACCCACTCCTGCCCCTCCAGTCTCGTCCCTGCAATCAGCCCTAACAAACAAACTTCTCCCGTGACCCATGTACATTGGTTCCTGCCAGCTCAGACCTCATTTCTCCCTCTCAGACCAACTCATCTTATTCTTGATCACCACGCCCTTGTCATCTTTGCCTTCTTTCTGTTCTCAAAACAGTTCTTTCTTGTCTCAGGACTTTGCACGTAGTGTTGCCTTTCTCTGGAACATTCTCTTGCTAACGTTTTCTCATCCTTCAGCTGTTGGCTGACATGTTACTTTTCAAAAAGGCCTTCCCTGAACATCCTATTAAAAGTAGATCCACTTGCCCTGGCTAGTTTTTCCCAGTGGTTAGAGCATCAGCCTGCAGACCAAAGAGTCTCAGGTTCAATTCCAGTCAAGGGCACATAACTCGGTTGTGGTTTGGTCCCCAGCCTTGGTCGGGGTCGTGCAGGAAGCAATCAACCGATGTGTCTCTCTCACGTTGATGTTTCTCACACTCTCTCTCTCCCTCCCTCCCACTCTATATGAAGATAAATGCAAAAATATCCTCGGGTGAGGATTTAAAAAAAAAGAAGAAGAATTAGATCCACTCTATTTTTCTCTATTTTGGAACAATGGTAATTTCCTTAACAGCACATATCACAAATTAAATTTTTCACATTTGCTGGCCTACACCTTTGCTGTCTGTCTCCAGACTCCAAGTTCTGTGAGGATATTTTTCTCTATGTCCCCTTTGGCATTTTATATTCCCAGAGCTGTGGAAATACTGGAAGATATAGGGGTTCAGTAAACAATTGTTGAATGAATGAATTGTACATTCATACATCTACCCATTTATTACCCACATGTACACTGAGCCTTTATCATATGTCAAGAACTGCACCAGGGACTTTGGATACAAATAGGAACAAAACATAATCCCTTCTCTCAAGGGATTGCAGTGTAGTGGAGGAGACAGCCGTGCCAACAGACAACTACAAGTGTGCCAAGTGAAATGATTGTGGGGGAAGATGGGAAATAAAACAACTAATTGTCTGGAGATAGGAATGAACAGTAAAAACTTGACAGAGGTGCATTTGCGCCAGATCTTGGAATACAGGTATGATTTTATTTAGGTGAAAAAGTAGATGGATTTTTTTTTTTTTTTTTTTAATCCTCACCCGAGGACATACTTTTCCATTTTTTGTTCAGCTAGAGCGGGAGGGAGAGAGAGAGAGAGAAACATCGATGTGAAGGGACACATCGAGTGGCTGCCACCCG